CATCATATAAATAAACTGAAAGAAAAAAAACATTTGATCATTTCATTAGATGCTGAAAAAGCATTTGACAAAATTCAACATCCCTTTATGATAAAGGTGTTGAAGAGATTGGGGATACAAGGATCATACCTAAATATAATAAAAGCTATTTACAGCAAGCCGACAGCTAACATCAAACTGAATGGAGAGAAACTCAAAGCCATTCCACTAAAATCAGGAACACGACAAGGCTGTCCACTCTCCCCATACCTCTTCAATATAGTGCTTGAAGTTGTAGCAACAGCAATAAGACAACATAAGAGGATCAAGGGGTTTCGAAATGGAAAAGAAGTTAAACTCTCGTCATTTGCAGACAATATGATAGTATACATGAGCGACCCCAAAAACTCTACCAAAGAACTCCTACAGCTGATAAACACCTTTAGTAACGTGGCAGGATACAAGATCAACTCCAAAAAATCAGTTGCCCTCCTATACACAAAGGATAAAAAAGCAGGGAGGGAAATCAGAGAAACATCACCTTTAACGATAGCCACAAATAGCATAAAATATCTTGGGGTTACTCTAACCAAGGAAGTGAAAGACCTATTTGACAAAAACTTTAAGTCTTTGAAGAAAGCAATTGAGGAGGATACCAGAAAATGGAAAGATCTCCCCTGCTCTTGGATTGGGAGGATCAACATAGTAAAAATGGCAATTCTACCAAAAGCAATCTATAGATTCAATGCAATCCCCATCAAAATCCCATCAAACTTCTTCACAGACCTTGAGAGATAATAATAAATTTTATATGGAAAAACAAAAAACCCAGGATAGCCAAAACAATCTTATATAATAAAAGAACTTCTGGAGGTATAACTATCCTGACTTCAAACACTATTACACAGCTACAGTATTGAAAACATCTTGGTACTGGCATAAGAACAGAGAAGTTGATCTATGGAATCAAATAGAAGACCCAGATATTAACCCACAAACCTATGAACACTTGATTTTCAACAAGGGAGCTAAAGGTGTGCAATGGAAGAAGGAAAGCATCTTTAACAAATGGTGCTGGCATAACTGGATGTAAACCTGTAGAAGAATGAAAGTAGATCCATATCTTTCACCATGCACAAAAATCAAGTCCAAATGGATTAAAGACCTCAACATTAATCCATCCACTTTGAACCAGATAGAAGAGAAAGTGGGAAGTAGTCTACAAGACATAGGCACAGGAGACCACTTCCTAGGTAGAACCCCAGTAGCACAGACAATGAATAAATGGGACCTCCTGAAACTGAGAAGCTTCAGTAAAGCAAAGGACACCATCAGTAAGACAAAAGAGCTACCTTCAGACTAGGAGAAGATCTTCACCAACCCCTCATCAGACAAAGGCCTGATCTCCAAAATATACAAACAACTCAAGAAACTAGACACTAAAACTCTAATTAACCCAATTAAAAAATGGGGTGCTGATCTGAACAGAGAATTCTCAACAGAAGAATTTTGAATGGCCAAAAGACACTTAAGGTCATGCTCAACATCCTTAGCGATCAGGGAAATGCAAATCAAAACAACTATGAGATACCATTTTACACCGGTCAGATTAGCTAAAGTCAAAAACACCAATGATAGCCTATGCTGGAGAGAATGTGGAGAGAGGGGAACTCTCATCCATTGTTGGTGGGAATGCAAACTTGTGCAGCCACTGTGGAAATCAGTGTGGGAGTTTCTCAGGAAACTGGGAGTCAACCTCCCTCAGGACCCAGCAATTCCACTCTTGGGAATATACCCAAGAGATGCCCTATCATACCACAAAAGCATTTGTTCAACTATGTTCATAGCAGCACTATTTGTAATAGCCAGAACCTGGAAACAACCTAGGTGCCCCTCAATAGAAGAATGGTTAAAAAGGTGTGGAACATATATACATTAGAGTTTTACTCAGCGGTAAAAAACAATGACATCTTGAATTTTGCATGCAAATTGATGGACATAGAAAACGCTTTACTGAGTGAGGTAACCCAGACCCAAAAAGAGGAATATGGTATGTATTCACTCATATGTGGATTCTAGCCATAATTAAAGGTCTTTGAGCCTATTATTCGTGATCCTAGAGAAGCTAAATAAGAAGGTGAACCTGAAGAAAATCGTGTGGTTATCCTCCTGGAGAGTGGAAGTGGACAAGAGTCCCAGGCAACCTCGGGTGCATTGGGGGGGGGGGGATTGTTGGGAGGGGGGAAGGTTGGGAAGGAGGCAGTAGGGGGGAATGGGGAGGGCTCGGAGGATTGGGATGGGAGGAGGGAGGAAGGATGGAAATGGGATCAGGAAAGTATATATCTCAACTAAGGGAGTCATTTTAGGGTTTACAAGAGACTTGATTATAAAGGGGATCCCAGGTCCAAGGAGAGATCCCCAGATTGTTCTCTGGACAGAGGAGAGGGTGCCTGAACCAGCCTTTTCCCATAACCATACTGATGAATATTTTGCATATCACCATAGAACCTTCATCTGGCGATGGATGAAGATAGAGACAGAGACCCACTGGACTTAGCTCCCTTGGTCCAAACAAGAAGCAGAAGGAGGGAGAGCGTGAGCAAAGAAGGCAAGACCAGAGGGAAACTTCACCCGTTGATGGATGGAGATTGAGACAGAGAACCACATTGGAGCACTGGACTGAGCCCCCAAGGTCTAAGTGAGGAGCAGAAGGAGGGAGAACATGAACAAGAAAGGCGGGACTGTGAGGAGTGCGTTCACCCACTGATACAAAGGGACTGATCTAATGAGAGTTCACCAAGGCCAGTTGGACTGGGACTGAAAGAGAACGTGATCCAACCAGATTCTCTGAATGTGGCCGGATTTTTGAATGTGGCTGGCTCGGGGTCTTTCTGGGAAGCCATTGACAATGACACTGGGACTTGTTTCCTCTGCATATACTGGATTTTTGGGATCCAGTCTGTTTGGATGCTCACCTTCCTGGTCCTGCTGGGGGGGGGACTTGGACTTGGACTTCCCACAGGACAGGAAACCCTGACTGCTCTTGGGGATAGAGAGGGAGTGGGGGGAGTGGGAGGGTGTTGGGAGGAGGGGCGGAAATGGAAACTTTTATAAATTAAGAAAATTTTATTAAAAAAAAAAAGATTTAAACCAGAACCACATGACCAAAGGTGTAAGGTTCTGCTGTTTAATGGGGCTAGAACTAGGCACTTAGTTTAATTATATATTTTCCAGCTTTCTTTTTTCACTGCCTAAGTTTGGCTGTCCTGAAAATTACTAGGTAGGCCAGGATGGCATTACATTCACAGAGATAAGCTTTCCTCCCTTTTCTGTGTTGTAAGATTGAAGGTCTTGCAAACACTACCTTATCACCACTTCCTTTATTACCACGTTTCTTAATCATCTTATGTCCTTGAACAGCAAATTTCGCATCATTCCACTTTTAAGGGCCCCTTTTTATGTCCCAAGTATTTTTCCCTGCTCAGCTGCTCCTTAAGTTACATATCTTCAGTAGAGTTAACACTAATATCCTCATGACAGAGTCTATCCTAGACTCTTTTGAGTTTTCTTCGGCCAATGGAATCAACAAAAACATTTTACTTTAGCCTCAAGCAGAATTCTTTGACCAAAGGCAGAATGCAGTCATTTTCTACAAAAAAAAAAAAAATCACAAGAATAATTTCTAGGCAACATACTGAAATCCTAACTGAAACATCTTGAGCTGGCTCCTGATATTTCACATCATTATCAAGGTCACTGTCACCCTTGCTCCTCTTAGTATGGTCTAGTATGCAGATCTTAATGCATTTAAAGCTTTTCACAAGCCAAAGTCCCAAAGTCCATATTATTCCAAAAAAAAGTATGGGCAGGCCGAGCACAGCAATACCCCAGTTCCTGGGACCAACTTCTGTTTAATTAGAGTTTTATTGACCTAAAGAGACACCTAGACCATTCAAACTCTTATAGTGAAAACATTTTATTAAAGTTGCTCACTTACAATTTCAGAGATTCAATCAACTATTATCATTACTGGGAGCATGTAAGCAGGGAGCCAGATGTAATGCTGGAGCCTAGAGTACTTTGATCTTGACTTGGGCAACAGGAAGTTATCTGACAGACTTTCTCTGACAAAACCATGCCCACACGAAAATAGCCACATCACCCACTACTTCCGTGCCCTACGTGATAATGGGAGCCAACTATATTCATACTACCACAATGGTATAGCTAAGTCTTGAGGTAGAAAGATTAACAATTATCTGAGGAACTGCCATATTGATTTCCATAGTGGCTATACATGTTTGCATTCCCAGAAGCAATGGGGGAGTATTCCCTTTGCTCCACATCATTGCCAGCATGAGTTGTTACTTGTGTTGTTAATCCTAGCTATTCTGACAAGTATAAGATGAATTATTCAGGTAGTTTTGATTTTCATTTTCTTAATGGCAAAGGATGTTAATTATTTAAGTCAGTTTAAATACAGCTATTTAGAATTTACCCAAACACTAGCTGTATACCAGAAAAGATGCAAGAATTTAGATGGGGATTTTATAGAAGGCAGAAGTATTAAGAATGCCAGTAAAACACGACCCACAGGTTCAGGTATCTAAAGGGCTCAAAGTGTCTGACAGAGCAATTATGGATCTGGCAGGGTCTGAGTCCTATCCTCCCCTTGCATATTATGATTGCTTTTCTTGATGGTTTTGTGGGACACCTAACAATAAAAGTGTGTTTGTTTCTAACTCTTTTACTTGCTCTTGGGATACTTTTACTCCTAATTTGTTGCCCAATCATGCATGGATATAAATGTTTATGTCTAATCACTTTGTATCTTGATATGGTGTTCAGTTGACATCCCTGGGAGGCCGGTTCTCTTTGAAGTACAAGAAATGAACAGTGGATCTGGGACAGGGCAAAATAGTAGAAAGAGTAGAAAGAGTTGAGTGGTCACTATGAACTGTATGAGAAAAGAATAAATAAAGAGAAGAAACAAAAAGAAATGAAAATGTATTTAATCTAACTTTATGATCCTCACAATCATTAATGGCCTCAATGCTGCTACAATATCCAAAGTCTCCTTTGATACTCACGACAGAATATTGTATTGTGACATCTTCTAAACCTAAAAAGGAAGTAAATATTTCAGAAATACAATGACATTGGATATATTCCCATTTAGAAAGAGAGGAATATGACTGGTTGTGGTTTAGCCCCCTACATGAGCCGACATATGATACTTACATATAGATCAAATCAACCATAAAAACAGGTCAGCCATCCATGAAACTCTCCCATGTGCTTACCTCCAAGAGACACAATCCCACAACAATTCTCCAACATCACCCATGTAGCCATATCCCCACACCCAAATTCGGTGTGAATCCCATAAGAGAAGGGCACAGTAGACAGAAGAGGTTGATGGGCTTTGACTCCCTAATAAAACAGAGTCAACACAAACCATTATAAACCCAGGCAGACTGACCACCCATGGGCTTCCTTCACTCCTTGAGTCCCTCCTCCAAAACTACTCCAAACCCACTTGCCTCCTTGTCACTGCATTTTAACCTATAATATGGATGGAGACACTGTTGAAACAAAAGACACACCAGCTTCCAGAGTCCATCTAGGCCTCCTGCCCACAGACATCCCCACTCTCAAAATCCCCAACACCACACTATTAACATCCCCCTTTCACATATTCTCAGCCCCCTAACTTGAACAAAAACACCCTGAGAGAACAGAGGCTAGGCCTGTTACCGAGTTTCCAGTCCCAAACATTGTTATGGGGGACATTTGTTGAACCATGGGCCACACAGATCAGAAGAACAGAAGCAGAGCAAATAGAGACCAAAGAACAAAACACACATTCAAAAGAAAGAAAATGACAAATAGGAACCTAGATTCATAGTCACCACAAACCCGGATACATATATGCCAGCTTTAAAAAAAATGACATCCAGGACAATATGTCCCCATTAGTTTGCAGCTATCCTACTACATCAAGTGCTTAATACTACAACACAGATGAATCAGGAAAGGCCATAAAACAAACCTTATAAAGATGATAGAGGTTCTGACAGAAGATGTGAATAAATCCCTTAGAAAAAGACAATAAAAAGGTAAATCAAATATTGGAGACAATGGGTAACTCCCTTAAAAAGAGTCAAGAAAATAAAGCAGTCAAAGGAAATTGAATGAATTATGCAATACCTGACAGTGGAAATAGAAACAATAAAAAGGCACAATCTCAATGAACGCTGGAAATGAGAAAGCTAGGTAAGTGAACAGGGATTACAGAAGATAGTTTCACGGAAAGAATAGAAGAGATGGAGGAGAGAACCTCTAGTGTTGAGAATATGATAGAAGAAAATTTCAAATCTAAAATACTCCTGAAAGATAACATCTTGGAAATCTGGAAAACTATAAAAGATCAAACCTAGGAATAACAGGAATAGAAGGAAAAGAATTCCAGCCCTTAGACCCAGAAAATATTTTCAAAGAAACCATGACCAAAAAATTTCTCACCAAAAAGGACACTTGGTGAACCCAGCTTGCAGAATCAACTAAACAGAACTCACAGGTGTCCACAGAATGTAAGCAATAATTATGCAACCTGTATGGGTGTTTGTCATTTTCTCTGCATATATGCTATAGTTGTGTAGCTTCATGGTTTTGTATGACTCCTAACACTGGGTGGGAGGTGTCTCTGACTCTTTGGTCTAGACTTGGGATCCTATTCCTCATACTGGGTTACTTCATCAGTAATGAGGGTTTGTGCTTAGTCTTATTGTAACTACATATGACCTGTCTCGTTTATATTCCTGGGAGCTATTCTCTTTTAAGAAGGACAGAGTAGGAGGAAGGGATCTGAAGGAGAGGAAGAGTCTGAGGGGAGCAAGGGAGGAGAAACTGCAATCTACTTGAAAGTTTCTGCCTGTTTTCCCACAGGACTGCCATCTGAAACGACTCAGTGCTTTTTCTCTACCAAACAGACTTTTCATTTCCACTTGTTTCATTTTTCACTGTAGACCTGAAAATGTCATCAGTAATGACCAACCAATAGAAAAAATAATTTGTCTAAGAAATCAGCCCTTTACTTTTTAATTTTGGCTTACTCAATTTCTCAGATAATGGAGAAAATAAAAATTCTTCAGGACAAAGATATAATACAAATGACCTCTATCTTAAATTTTCATGGTGCTTATTTTCCAGTGAAATTCTATGTGTCCAACTGTCGGGAGCAAAGGCCTGTATTGGTTATAGTCAAGCCATCTGAGCTCACAAGTTAAGTAAGCTATTCACCAGAAGCTCTGTAGGAAAAGTTCTGGGCCCAGGAAATAACCCAGTATTTCCTTATCTCTCCCAGTGAGTTAAGAATGCCTTCAGACCTGCCGGTCCCAGGCCCCAGAAGTCATTAACATTCCCCCTTTTAATTAACATTTACAGACCCTCAATATTTCCTTTTCTCTTTCTGATAGCTAGGAATGTCTCCAGACCTGATATTCCAGTTAGAACAATTGCATAGCAACCTACCCAACCCCCTTGCCCTTTTGCTACATAATGCTCCTGAGAATAAAATAAAATTTGCAGCTTGTTCAGATTACAGACGAGCTGTCCATTTTCTTGTGTCTCTCATCTCTCCATTTCTCTCCTGCAGGGTCCACATATGCAGTTTGTGTCCTGTAGGGAGCCACCTGGAGGCACAGGTGGTCCTGCAGTTTGGAGGTATACAAGTCCATACCTGGCTTAGCCACGTGGGGCTGAGAACCCTTGCCTGCACATGAGCAGACCAGCAAATGGCATCAACCAATCAGCATTCGAGCCTTTCACCCTAGAAAAGCAGCTGCCTCTGGGCTCTGCTTCCTCTCTGGCTTCCTCTCTCTAGGTTCTCTAGGTTCTCTCTGGCTTCCTCTCTAAGCTCTCTCTAATCCTGCTCTCTCTAAGTCTCTCTCTTCCTTTCCCCCAATTTTCCTCAATCGAGTGCTCCGAATAAAGACGTGATAGGGAAGGAATTCTCGTTTTCGTGGCATTCTTTCCTGCTGGTCAGGAAGCGCGCTGCAGTGTCCCACTGTTCGGGACATCCAAGCTTCACTGTCTGCATTACTGACAACACTTCCATCTTCCGACTCCCATGAGAATAACTGGTGTATCTCTGTGTATAGTTTTCTAGAAAATTTGCCATATAAAATCAGCACATATTTTAAAAACCTGTACTCCACAAATTTGGAAAACTTAAAGGAAACGGACAATTTTCTGGATAATGTCACTTACCAAAATTAAATCAAGAGCAGATAAGCAAATAAAACAGACCTACAACTGCTGAAGAAGTAGAAAGAGTCATCAAAAATTTCCCAACCAAAAAAAGCCCAGGACCAGATAGTTTCAGCTCAGAATTCTACAAGACTTTCAAAAATAAACTAATACCAATACTCTTCAAATTATTCCACACAATAGGAACAGAAGAAACATTGCCAAACACTTTTTATGGGGCTACAATTACCCTGATACCCAAATAACACAAAAAATTTACTAAGAAAGAGAATTACAGACCAAACTCACTCATGCACATTGATGCAAAAATACTCAATAAAATACTGGCAAATTGAATCCAAGAACACATCAGAAATATCATCCACCATGATCAAGTTATCTTCATCCCAGAGATTCAGGGATGGTTCAACATATAGAAATCTGTCAACGTAATCCACCATATAAACAAACTGAAAAATTAAAACCACATGATCATCTCATTAGATGCCAAAAAAAGCTTTTGACAAAATACAAAATCCCTTCATGGTCTTGGAGAAAGGAGGGATACAAAGAACATACCTAAACATAACCAAGCCAACAGCCAGCATCAAACTCAATGAAGAGAAACTCCCAATGATCCCAAAGACCAGGTTGTCCACTCTTTCCATATATGTTCAATATAATTCTTGAGGTCCTAGCTAGAGGAATAATACACCAAATGGAGATCACAGATTTACAAATCGGAAAAAAAGGAGTCAAACTCTCACTGTTTTCTGATGTTTTGACAGTTCACATAAGCAATCCCAAAATTCTACCAAGGAACTCCTACAATGCATAAACACTTTCAGTAATGTAGCAAGATACAGCATTAACTCAAAATATCTGTAACCTTCTGGTACACAAATGATAAAAGGTCTGGGAAAGGAATCAGAGAAAAAACACCCTTCACAATAGCCACAAATAGAATAATATATCTCAGAGTAAGTCTAACCAAACAATTTGAAGACATGTATGACAAGAACTTTAAATCTTTGAAGAAATAAAATAGAGAAGACAACACAAGGTGGAAAGATCTCCCATGCTCTTGGGTAGGCAGGATTAACATAATAAAAATGGCAATCTTACCAAAAGCAATCTACAGATTCAATGCAATGTCCATCAAAATCCCAGGAAAATTCTTTACAGACATTGAAAGAACAATACTCAACTTTATATGGAAAAGCAAAAAACCTAGGATAGCCAAAACAATCACGTACAATAAAAGAACTTCTGAAGGCATCATAATCCCTGACTTCAAACTCTCCTACAAAGCTACAGTACTGAAAACAGCCTTGTATTGGCATAAGAACAGACAGGAGAACCAATGGAACTAAACAGAAGACCCAAATATTAATTCACACACCTTCAAACACCTGATTTATGGCAAAAAATGCAAGAATTATCAAAATGGTGGAAAAATCATATGTATCAAATGGTGCTGGCAAAACTGGATATCAACATGTAAAAGAATGAAAATAGACCCGTATCTATCACCATGCACAAAATTCAAGTCTAAATGATTCAAACACCTCAACATAAAGTCAGCCATACTGAACTTTATAGAAGAGAAACTGGGAAGTACACTTGAATGCCTTGGCACAGGAAAACACTTGCTAAATATAACCCCAGCAGCAGAGACACTGAGAGAAACAATAAATAAATGGGACCTCCTGAAACTGAAAAGGGTCTGGAAAGCAAAGGACACATTTAACAAGACAAAGCAACAGCCTACAGAATGAGAAAACATCTTCACTAACCCCTCATCAGACAGAGGACTGATCTCCAAAATATACAAAGAACACAAGAAATTTGTCATCAAAAAAACAAATAATCCAATAAAAAATAGAGTAGAGACCTAAACAGAGAACTCCAACAGAGGAATCTAAAATGGCTGAAAGACACTTGAGGAAATGTTCAACATTCTTAGTCATCAGAGAAATGCAAATCAAGACAACTCTGAGATTCCATCTTACACCTATAGAATAGCCAAGATCAAAAACAATGATGGCAACTTATGCTGAAGAGGTTGTGGGGTAAAGAGAACACTTCTGCATTGCTGGTGGGAA